ACCCCAGAGTGACTATATTTGAAGATACAGTCTTAAGGAGGTAATTAAGGTAACAAGGTCATAAGGGTGGAACCCTAAAAGGAAACTCCAGAGAGCTCTCCCTTTCTCTGTGCTTCCACAGAGAAAAGACCATGTAAAGTCACAGCAAGAAAACAGCCATGTGCGAGCCAGGAAGAGAGGTCTCAGAGAAAACCAACCGTGTCTGCATCTTGCTCTTGGCCTATTAGCCTCCAGAACTGTGAGAATATAAATGTCTGTTTTTTATGCTGTCCAGTCTGTGGAATTTTGTTACAGCAGCGCGAACAGACTAACACAAAGAAGGTATACAGACGTCAAGGAAGCACATGAAATGATACTCAGCTTCCTCTCAGCCAATAGGCAAATAAATGCATATTAAGTCCACCATGAAATATCATACATCTTTCAGAATGGCTAAAATTTTAAAAAGAAAATACAAAATACTGACAAGGATGTGGGGAAACTGGATCACGCATACATTGCTGATAGGAATGTAAAATGATACAGCCATTCTCAAAAACTGTTTAGCAGTTTCTAAAAAACAAAGCAAGTAACTCTCATACAACCCAGTGATTGTAGTCCTGGACCTTTTTCCCAGGCTACTGAAAACTTATGTTCACACAAAAACATATACAATAATATTCACAGAAACTTTATTTGTAATAACAGAAAACTGGAAACAATCCAGCTGTCCTTCCATAGCTGAATGAGTAAATAAGTTGTGGTACATCCATATAGTGGAATACTATCCAGCAATTAAAAGTGATAAACTATTGATACACAAAACAACAGGAATAAATATTCAAAGAGTAATTCTGAATTTTTTTAAAAAAGCCAATCTAAAAAGGAAACACACTGAAATCTTTTATTTGTGGAAATTCTTGACATGACTAAATTATAGAAACAGAACTGATGAGTAGTTATCAAGGGCTTAAAGAGAAGATGGAAAGGGAAGGAGGAGGATTTAGCTATAGAAGGGAAGCAAGAAGAATACCATGATGATAGAAATGTTTTGCATATTGGCATCAATGTCAATATCCTATTTTTGACACTCTTCTATGGTTTTTGCAAGATATTCTCATTGGAGGAAACTAAGTAAAGGGTACACTGAATCTTTCAGTTATTTCTTACAACTGCATGAGAATCTACAGTGATCCTAAAATAAAATTTTTAATTAAACAAAATATAATTTCCATCTTATTTTTCTATGATTGCTAAGTCTTCAGAAAGATTCTCTTGACTAGTAAACTACTCTTTGCCTTGACATTTTTATATTCCTTTTTTATTTTACTTTTAAGAAAGGTAGTGTTGGCATGCTGGTTGCACTTTGATTCTAAAGGAAAACATTGTCTTCAGAAAATATATTTTTAAAATATTGTTCTTTTTACAAATAGCTTTATTGAAATAAAATTCACATATCATACAATTCACCCGTATAAAGTGAACTATCCAATGGCGTTTAGTATATTTACAGCGTTGTGTAACCATTACCACAACCAATTTTAGAACATTTCATTACTCCAACAAGAAACCCCACACCCCTTCACACATCTCTTTCTCAGTTGTCCCATCTCTCCAACCCTAGGAAACCACTTTCTGCCTCCATAAATCTGTTCTTTTAAAAAGGATATTCTATAAACAAAAGTTTAGTAAAACAATTATTTTTAAATGTACTCATAATCTTAACATAGTACTAGGTTAATATTTTTAAAATAAGCTTTTGTAAACTTTATAAGTGCAAGTAAGTAATTAAATTAAATTAGTAAATTGAGTAATTAACACATCTTCCTCTTCTATGTAAATAACCACGTGGATTCAGATACACACACACACACACACACACACACATTTTGAAAGATAAGAGGAAGTGTTCCTGAAAGGGTTTATTTTTCAAACCTCTAGTTCTCTATATTGAATGTAATTGAAAAAGGCGCAGTTTAAGGAATTTTTAATTTTTTAATCAAATTATTTATTAAAATTTTTTATTGCACTTAATATTTGTACATGTTTGTGGGGGTACATGTGATATTTTGTTACATGCGTAGAATGCATAATAATAAAGTCAGGGCATTTTAGATACCCACCACTTCTAGTATTTATCATTTCTATGTGCTGGGAACATGCCCAGTTCTCTCTTCTGGCTATTTTGAAATATGCAATACATTGCTGTTAATCTGTAATCACCCTACTCTGCTATTGAACATTAGAATTTATATCTTCTATATAACTGGACGTTTGTACCCATTTCCCAACTTCTCTTCCTCCTTCTCCCTAACACCTCTCCTTGCCACTGGTAACTATCCTTCTGCTCTCTGCCTCTATGAGGTCAGATAATTTTAAACCACCTTATCTATGGAATTCTCTCTTCCAAAAAATTTGCAGCTTCCTGCTTGCTGCCTGCCTGCTGAGCTCTGCTCTGCTTCCTGCTCTCTGCCCTCCTCCTTTTTCTGAGGCAGCCCAGATTCCCCTGGGTGCTTCTTAGCACAGTCTGTAAAGAACTGAGATACCATATGCCATTAACATTATTTGATCACGGAAATATTGGCCTTTGCTTTCTTTATAATTGTTGTGAATTAGCAGCAATTTCTTAATCCAATAAAATGTCCTACTTCATCTTCTACCTATTATGAATCTGTAAAATAAGATTTGCTAACTAAACAAAATAGACATTATTATGTGTAGGAGAATGTTGAAGATACCTAAAGTAATAAATTGGTTTCATTGCTATAAAAGCATTCATTGTATAGATAGCAGCAATTCAAAGAATTGTTCCTCTGTTTCAACCAGTTCCCTGAAGCCTTCTATATAATGCTTTATTGAGTTAGTTATGATATAATCTGAAACAAATGGAATATTGTGCCATAATAATATCTAATTTAAACCTGTAAGTAATTCTGAATGTACTCTTTTTAATCAGACAAAATAAGATTTAATAATACTTCATAATTTATAGTTACAGCTTTATTTTAACTTTTATATATAACATTTTAATAAAAGGCATTTAATCCCTTCTAAAAACAAGTCAGGTAAGAACTTTTAAGAACACAAATGTGTTGTTATTCCCGACATGATATTAGGCATTTTTTTGCCTTCTTTCCTAGAAACCCAAATGTCTAAGTGTAGAAGCGGCTATAAAAAGGACATAAAGAATAAGCATGACATGACTCTGATAATGTGTAATTTCATTTGACTCTGGTGGGGGGAGCTTCAAAGTACATTCTAAGGGGAATAAATTTGGCTCTACAGTTGTCCATATACAAGTTGAGAAATGACTGTTTTTTTCTAATACTTATTTTTTATTTTAAAATTGTGGTGTACAGTTAAGGTTTAGGTATACAAATATGCATTGTGTAGGTACCCTTGTTGATGAGGTGTGCCCCCCCGTCCCCAGACAGATATTGACTACCATTAATCCCACCTCTCTTCCCCTCCGCATAGATTCCCACCTCTGTCAATCCTTTTCTTCTAGTATTACGATAGTTCTTCAAGGTCCACTTATGAGTGAGAACATGTGATACTCAGATCTTTGTTTCTGTGAAAATTGACTTTTGAATCAGGTCCACAAAGAAAACAGAAAAACAAAATAAAGCAAAGTAGATGTAAGCACGGTTTGATGAGAACTTTTAAACAAATTAAAATCTAAGAAACGTGTATAAGCGAGTAAAACTTGTGATTTTTAACTACGTAGCTATGTATCTGTTGTTTTCTAACATAATGAACTGTTATTTTGATGTTGCTGTTTTCCATCTTCAGAGGATCAATATATCTTTCTACCAGGAAGGCAATTTAGACAGGAGAATTTTATCCAGTGTTGGGAGTATGTATGGAGCAGTTGCTTAAAACTAAAAATGTGTATTTGTATTTGATGCACCAAGAACTTACTGGTGGCAGCAGACAATGCATAGTTCATTTCTCTGATTACACTCCTCATCAAGCGCATATATCCAGTAAAATTTCACTTCTCTCAACTCATGTCATTGTATTCACACTTTATTGTCCATACTTTTTCCTGTTTAAGATTTACAATGTTTTTCAAAAGGAAAGTCATAGATAAAAAAAAAAAAAAAAACTAATGAGAAAGTGAGGACCAATGGGAGGCCCAAACATCACCTGGACGATGACCACTTATATACCTAACCCTGAATTGTACCCCATGTATTTAAGATAAAAACAATAAGGAAGTGAAGATAAGAAGTTTTATTTGGACAGCAATTATAATTAACTTTATAGTCTACATAATTTTTTTCAGATCTCTTAATTTATATCTCAACCTTTTAAACATTTTCTGCCTATTTCAAGCATTGTAAACATTTTGAAGACCCTTTTCATCTACTGTCCATCTATTTTATTCTTATTAGCAAAGTAAGAAATAATTGTGAATAAAAGCTTTTTCATGAGAATATTAGCACAACACAGAGTGAATTGTATCTTGGTTTTTAATTAGATGAGAATATTTAGAATGCTAGTCTCAGTTTAAAAAATCAAATGGCCCATTAATAAAAACAGCTAACTAAGAGTATAACTCTGTGAAGTGTGTGTCTTAGAAGCACTAGAACAAAAAATACTCTGAGCTTCTTTAGGATTTTTATTATTCAAAGCAATGTAGGTATTTATATTTTCAAGCTATAAAAAAATTAAGTCTGCTAATCAATGTTTGCAGATCTTTATGCTATCACTTTGGTGAGAAATAGTGTTGAGACTGAGAATATAAAATATATAAAATATAACATTCAGATCATTTCTGTAGTGGCCATTCTTTTACAGTGGAAGGAATCCAGGATTTCAGTCCCTGTAAAATTGCTAATCATATGCTCATGTCTTTTATGCTACATAGTTAATTAAAAAAAGAAAAGTGGAGTTGTATGAATAAGCAACATTTTTAACAGCAAAAATACTAAAAATAGAAAATGTACTTGTCATTCATTTTATTTCATAAATTTTATGTCTTACTTTTTGAATTTTTTCTTTTTTTAAACTAACAGGATCATTTTGGAATTCAGCTTCCTTCGATACTGAGGCTTCATATCTTCATTTTCCTACTTTCCATGGAGAACTCAGTGCTGATGTATCTTTCTTTTTTAAGACAACAGCTTCATCTGGGGTATTTTTAGAGAACCTGGGGATTACTGATTTTATACGGATAGAGCTACGCTGTAAGTCTTTTCCAGAGACATCTACAAGATCCTGTCATTTAGTAGTAAATCCTTTGACTGTTTTTTAAAGTACCCACGTGTCTGCTTTATCAGCTAACTCTTTTCACTGGGTCTCTTTGAAAAAATTCTGTGAAGTTAACTTATTCTTTTTGTGAGAAAATATTTATATTCAACATGATAATTTGGGAAATTATTAGCATTCTCCAGGACCAATTTAAAAGCAGTTTTAATTCAGATAATTAAAATTAATTCAGATATTTAGTTAATTACAAAATTAGTTAATTAATTACAAAATCAACCACTCATTTTGATATAGTCACAGGCTGCTATTAATATCCTAATATCAAATGTATACTGCATGCCTGTAAGATTACATAAACTTTGAATTACTGTAACAATTATTTTTAAATAAAATGTTAGATGCCATTTAGTTTTCTTGCCTTGGATAAATAGCTTTATGTTTTATTAATATGAAAAATTGACTCAGGATGAATTTCTTAAAATATGCTGTTTTTTAAAAAAAATATGAATGTATGTTGTTGTTTCATTCCACATCAGAAGACCCATTTCTGTACTGATGACATGAGTTCCTTCCACAACATTCAAACCATTATCTTTATGCTTATAATGTTGGGCTGAGGTGCAATTCCTAAGTATTTTGGAGACTCAGCATTCCTCCATATGAACTCACTTGAATAATCTTTATGTCTAATATCTCCAGCTCCAACAGTAGTGACTTTTTCATTTGATGTGGGTAATGGGCCTTTTGAAATCTCAGTGCAGTCACCCACCCACTTCAACGACAACCAGTGGCACTACGTGAAAGTTGAAAGGAACATGAAAGAAGCATCCATTCAAGTGGATCAGCTCATACCAAAGACACAACCTGCTCCAACTGATGGCCATGTCCTCTTACAACTCAACAGTCAACTCTTTGTGGGTAAGTTCTCTTTTTAAGTGATGGGTCATTTACCTGTATAAGTGTAAAGATGGGCCAAAATAAAATAATACCAACTACAAAAATAATGGCAATAGCAAAACAAACGGCAATAACAAACCACCATTTATTGAGAACCTATTTTCTAAATGGTGACATATGTTTCATTTCTTCCTTATCAACCCATGACATGGGTACTATCCCTATTTTGCAGATGGAATACCTGAGGTTTAGGGAGTTGACTTGCCTTCAGAAATCCACCTTGTAAATGAGATTCAAATTGTATTAATATTTGATTAATTTTTTAAACCTGCATGCATAACATTACAGATTACATGGTTTGTTCCAGTGTATTTATTTTTAATATTAGTGTTTTCAGTATTTAATTTTTCATATGACATCAGACATGTTTATCTATGTTCCCAGATTGTTGAGGAACCATTCTGTAATTCTAGCCAATGTGAAGCAATGTACACTCCCATCTACAACCACCACATCAAAAACATGCCAATAGATGAAAGAAAAAGCAAAACAAAACAGAGCATGGTGTGCAGAACTCATGGCTTGACAGGTTTTCACAGTTTCTTTGCTGTTTTACTTCATTTTGTCCATTTCCTGATTTCTTCTGGTTGCATCTTCTTCATGCTTATATTCAAATGCTCTTCCTTTATCTCCTAAATCTATTCTCTTGTCATTCATAGATCTGATAGTGGAATCCTTCAGGATGTGTTTGTTTTACTTTGTATCTTTGCTAATTAGTTTACACAACTTATGGATTATGAAGTTCAAAGAACCATCTCTTGCTTGATCACTTCTCAAATATTGTGATGTAAATAAGGACATAATGACACTATAAATCAGAACACCTGATAAATTATTTAAAATCATATTCCAAGCATTCTCAGGAGTTATATTTTCAAACGAAATTCATCAGATCCCCATTATACCTTCTGTTTCTTAACAATCTCATCTTAACTCTCACTGGAAAGGATGATGATTATTTGCAACATATTTGAGGAAAATATATTTGAAATGTCTAATAAACTTACATGCTTATTTTTTCTATCATTTATTATTTCTTTAACTCAATAAATATTAATGAACAGCTACTATGAGCAAGGCACTATAATAAACAATCTAATCATGATCTTCTAGCCATGCCACTGACTTATTTAAGGGTATGAAAATAGTAAAGAATATATGAGAAGAAATATATAACTTTTATTTTAATAACATGCTAGAAGCCCAGTCAGGAAATTGACAAAACTATTTCTTGAATTACAAAAAATGAGAGATGGCCACAACAAAAGTATGGCAATTTAAAATCTGTCAGTAGCTTGGAAATAGCCTTACTATTCTTGGAAATTGAGAAGCTGAAATAGTTCTCGAATTTTTCAGTGAAATATGCTGCAGTTTGCCTGTAGATGACCTTCCATTCTTGGTATGAATTTCAACTTCATAGAGATAGAGTCACTATATACTATATTTTATAGAAATCCTGGCCTTAATTTGATTTCAGGTAGTAGTAATGAAGTACTAGTATGACATCAGAAAGCAACTTTAAAACAGACTTAAGTCTTTTGGCATAAATTATGTGACATAATTTTAATAAGGACCTAAGAGATTTCATCTTTATGGAGGCTATTGGATGGGGTTTTGACCTTGACATATATGTTTAGATTTAAGAATGGTCATGTTACTTTGAAGTTTTCAAAATGAAACTCTTGATTACATTTAAGTAAAGTCATTAAAAATAAAAAAGAAAGGGCAAAAATAAAGATCTCTGAAAAACAGTTACTATCTACTGTTAATAAAAATCTACACTCCTGCCAGCTGTGTAGAAGCATTCCCTTTTCTCTTATACTCAGTGATTTATCACAGAATCAAAGAACTGAGTACCACATGTTCTCACTTATAAGTGGACCCTGAACATTTACCATAATACTATAAGAGAGGGATTGGCAGTAGTGGGATACTGCCAGGGTTGGGGGGAGGACACAACATCAATAAGGGTAACTGATCTCAAATCAGGTGAAGTGGGACCCAAAGGGAGGCCCAAACTTTACCTCTGTGATGACTACCTGTATATCTAATCCTGAATTGTACCCCACATCTTTAAAAAAAAATCTGTTTATACTGTTTCCTCCTTTCTGCTCACAGGGTATTGAGAGTAAATTGAAAAGATTTAGTGTAATAATACTAAGAGAAGACGTCATATAAAAAAATAAGCATTTGCAGACTTGGGTGAAGAAGAGCATTGACTGTCAAAGGCTGCATAAGGGACTGAGTTTTATGTTTACCACTATCAGAATGGACTACTCTTTTAGGAAAAGGCTTCAACCAAGTTAGTTAAACAATCCTTGCAAGACAAAATATTAATTTGTCAACTTACAAAATTACTATCAAACAAATCAGAATTTTTATAAACATTTGTAGATGAAGATATTATTTCCCTGCAGGTGGACTCAATGAAAGACAAATTATAATTTAAAAGGTTACGCTGAATTAGAACACAGTGGGTGGGTGAAAAAATAGTTTAAAAAATCAGTAATAATTAGAGCTAATTTAATAAAGCACTCACTAAGACCAAGAACTCTCTGTCTCTCCGAGCGCATATTTTAGTGGAAGAGATAAAAGATAGCCAATAATAAAAAATAAAACAAATAACTATATATTTATAATATATGGGCAAGCACATAAGCACACACACACATATATAATATATATACACACACATGTATATACATTTTCAAATTGTGATACATGCTATAAAGTAAAAAAGCAGAGGAAGGAGTCAGGCAATGATTTGGGTTGTGGATTTTTATTTCAAGTTGGGTGGTTAGAGAAGTTCTCTCTGAAAACTTTAACATTTGAGCAGAGGCTGAATGAAGCAGAAGGAAGAAACCTGCGAACATCTGAAGAAGAGAATTCTAGGAGGAGGGATCTTGCTCAGAGTGGTCGGAATGAGCTTTACATATTCAAGGAACAAGAAGAAAACCAATATGCCTGGAGAGAATCAATATTAGGGAAAATGTGATGGAAAATAAGGTGTAGTAATATATTGAACTTTGTAAGGAATTTGGGTTTTATTTTAAGGGATCAGAGGACTGGCATAATTTACTGGTTCCAAGTTTAGGTCTTTGATCCATTTAGAGTTAATTTTTGTGTATGGTGATTTTTGTGTATGGTTAATTTTTGTGTATGGTAGGGGTCCTGTTTCAATCTTCTGCATGTGATCAGCCAGTTTTCCCAGCACCATTTACTGAATAGGTTCTCCTCGCCCCAGTGGTGGTTGTTGGAGGCTTTGTCAAAGATGAGTTGGTTGAGAAATTGAGGCTTTGCTTCCAGAATCTTTTCTTTTTATCTTCCTTTATCCCAATTTATATCAGTGATGAATGCTGTTTCCTCATCCCACAATCCAGATTATATAATACAGTTCATATTCTTGCTAGGCTACAGAAAGCATCTGGTTCTACTTCACAACACAGAGAAAATACTCACCTCCTTCCCTTCCTTCAATGAGACCCACCTGCCCCATAATCTCACCCTCACTAGGAAATTGGATTTCTTTGTTCGTAGATTTTGTTCCAGCACATATGATATGTAGAGGGACCCTTTTCTTAGAAACTGTTTCCTTACGTATTAACACTTTCAAATATGTTAGAGTTAAGTCTTGTTCTACTGTCAAATGCAGTGACTTTGGGGGTGACTGGTAATCTCTGCTTCAAACCAATTATAATTGATTTTCTGGTTACAGTTTTAATGGATAATTTAATTCTCCTTACTTGCAAGTTCAAGGGTTTAGTTTGTAGTTCACCCGTCCATCTTTTTAAAAAATTATAGTCAATCGGTATTTTCAAGTGTGCATAATGACTACCATTTGTATTTGGGCACAGGGACAAATGAATGAGGTAAATGTGATTGTAACAAGTCTATAGTTTTCAGCATGATTTTTTCTCCTAATAAAAATGTTTCAAAACTAGAGACTGATAATAATAATGATGATGACTGAACAAGTTTAGAGATGTAATGTACAACATGAAAACTATAGCTAATAAAATCATATGGTATTTGGGATTTTTGTTAAATAAGTAGATTTGAGCTCTTGTCACATATAAAATAAGTAACTATGTAAGATGATAGGTATGTTAATTTGCTTCACTGCAGTAACCATTTTACTATCTACATGTAATCCATACTATCATTATGTAAACATCAAGTACATAAACAAAATTTATTTTAAAAATGAATAAATTGCATGGGAATATAATCTTTAAAGTGTAGGACCAATCTTAGAGACTAAATTAGTCTTCATCAGTCTGAGAAAGATTATGTCACTGTTCTAGCATTTGTTAGTTTCTATTAAATATGCACCTTCTTATTTGTCAACAAATTTAGCAGAAAACCATTGAGGAATATTTCAAATAGTAAATAAAGTTATTTTAAAATACAACAAATATGAAACACTAGAAATTTTAATAATATGAAAATATATTAATTTGAGGCACAGCCTTTAACACTTTTACCTACAAATAAAATGTAAATATTTGAATATTTAATAATTTTGATTCAAATTATAGTCTTATTCTCACTGACCAAGTCTATGTTTATATATTTATTAACATTAAACTTGTTTGAGATTAACAGTAATCTCTCTGAAGTGGCTACTGCAATGAGATATGCAGAAAGAATCCCATGTATTTTCTTCATTGCTTCTTCACCCTCTTTACTAAAGACCAGTTGTAAAGTGTGTTCACATCTCAGAGTGAAACTCTGAGGAAAGATTAATGCTTTAATTTCTGGGTAAAATCAGTGAAAATAAATAGAAAGCACTTTTAAAAAATGTGATTTAGCTGGGCAGCAGTTATATATGACAATTGAAATGGGAATAAGGAAATGATAAATGGGATTTCTGAGATGCAACTAGCATTAGCCAACACTCGAAAAATATGAAGCTGAAGGCTTTTCAACAATTCCTGAGGTTTCAAATGTCAGAACAATTA